AGAGCTCTACGAAAGCCAATAAAGAACAAATAATAATCTTCGTAAAAACATTAGAAAGAATGAAAAGGTTATAATTGAAATGAAGCCGATGGATATTAGGAAAAACGTAAATACTACTGAAGAAACAATACAAAATACTTAAGAAGCAGGTTGAGTGCCCTTGAAACAGTACTCTATTGTTCACTGACGCTCATTTCTACATTGTAAACACTAAACTCTTTTTTCTTCTTCCTCTTCTCTAATGCATTCACATTTTTGGTCAACGATGATTCTGTTAAGAACAAAGAAAAAACTATGAAAAAAGAATAGAGAACGTTTCAGTATATATTGAAAAATATCTCAAATTTTATTAAATTAAAATCAAAAAAAAGTCATTTTTTTGCCAAATAAAAAAAAACAAAGAGTTCAGGAAATCAGAATAAGCTCCATTTACCTTCATCGCACTTTTTGCCCTTCCATCCAGCAGCACAAACCACTGTACCGTTAGAACTGCAAATAACATTACTGCCCATACCCATACAACTCCTTTGGCAGTGATCACCAAAGAATCCCTCTGCACAGGTAATTCGATAATCAATTTGAATTTCTGCGCCCAATTTTTTATCACTGAGCCTTACTGTAGTCCAGTCTTTGCTAGCCTTAGCACTCGATGATGCAAATCCCGTGTCAAATACCGGCACGTTGGCTAAAATTGTTAATCTTCTGTCATAAATGGTCATAATCATAATGATTAATGCTTTAAAAACTTTACTAGTCTAAAAATTAACATAAAAAAAAGTTTGAACCTCATCCACTAAAATTTTACTGTACACCCTTAGTTGGTTTGGATCAACAAAGAACATTAATTTTCTTTACATTGTGAAAAATCAAAAAGGCCACTACTTGGTGGCAATATGGCAATATGTACTTTTGCCATAAAATTTGTTATTGTCGTAATTAAAAAGATAATTAGTGATAAAATAAAGATAAAAGTGAAAAAAAGAAGATAGCCAACACATATAATCAAATGGGGTTTAACAACAGATTGATACAAGTACCCACCCACCAAATGAGAGAAGTACAAATAAAGTTTACAACTAATAACCGCTGACGAATCAGGGCATCAGATCTGTAAATTGTGCAGTTTTGACTGATGACATCTAAGTAAACAATTAGACACGCTTCATATGATAAGCTGTAGAACACAACTGTACCAACTCATCAATGCCAGATTATGTGGTCGAGGTCGATAAGTCGAACACTGTTAAGGCCAAGACTGATGCACCGCTGGGGGCTTAGATGTATTACCAACAAGTTCACCATTGTTCGCATTTGAATACATAGAAATTACTACGGTAATAACTGCTTATTTGAACAACTTCTCAAGTAAATACATTGCTCTTTTTAATAGTGTCAATACTTTAGACTGTTTTGTCTATTTTATTCATCTGATGCCAAAAAGTTTTTGATTTTTGTATGTTACTGACTGCTTCAGTGAAAAAAAAGTATTGAAGAAAGTAAAGAAAAACTTGCTCAATCCTCAGGTTCCTAATCTATCACCCTTCAAACCGGCGCAAGGTGGTCAACAGAACAGCTTATATCAATTATTTTGAAGAACAGTAATATTTTTAATCAGAAGTCCATCAAAAGTATCTTACTATAAAGAGAGACAGCAGAATAAAAAACTTTGAGCAGTATTGCTACCTGTTTTTCTTGTCTGGATAAATAACCAAAAAGCAGAAAACTTTGCGCCTTTATCGACCTTCCCTAAGCGCTTTTCTGTCACATCAATAAAGATAAAAAGAAAAAAAAGGAAATGACATATATGGTAATTTGATCAGCAGTATAATATTTGGCGAAAGAAATTTCGCCAAAATACTAACAAAGACAATATTAACTTTTTCACGAATCAAAATAAAATTTTTTTTTTGCTACTGTTCCTCATACAATAAGGTATAACAAAAGTAACCAAAAAATGAAGTTAAAAGCTACAAACCAGAAGAAAAAAATATAAATCAATTGATATTGAAATAGAACTTCAGTAACGAATTACAGTAACAAAAATTATCGTTAAGGCTGTTGTGTAACAGTAAAAGTGTATCAAGTTTTGAATACAAGAAACTGGAGACGTTATCTTCGCTAATGATGACAGCCTAGCTTAAAGAATGCACTGTCCATACAGTGCAGACCTAGTGTCCAGCAAAGTCAAGAAAAAAAGAATAAAAACAGAAAGGTAGAAAAGCAGCTGAAGAAGAAAAGTTGGATCAGCTGTTTAGAGTTTAAATGAAGTTCATGAGTAGGCAATTCTAGCAAAAACCTACAAAATAGTGGCGATATTGGTACGGATCCTTTCCATGATTGAATAAATAACGAGAAAGAGCCCTGAAAAAAATTCTATTACTGTTTATTGATGTCTGATCTTCAGACCAATCGTTGCAGCCTTTAGAAAGCCAAATAACGCTTTCACTTATTTTCTATCAGAGTATTACACTGGTTTATAAAATGATCTTTAAAACATGCTCTAAAACAACATTCTGTATTGTTCTTCTTTCTTTTGTTTAATCCTTTAAAAGTTTGTAGAAAAAAAAGGTTTACAAGTAGAAAACAAAAACAGGGAACAGTCGTTTACAAAGCTAAAAAAAAAAAAAAAGAAGAGAAAGACTTGCATAAAACTCTCCCAAAAAGTTTCCTTCCTCTAGCGAACTGAGATTTTCGCACGAAACAAAGGTAGCCCCCCTCCTGAGTTCAATGTTCCCTTTTTCTTCCATTTCTGTATTTTATATTCCTAATATATGTGTAACAGAAGCGACCAATAATAAAAAAAAAATACATAGAAAAAAAATTCTGCCTTAACACTTTACTTTTTCTTTTTGCAAATGTTTTAATACGGTGTTGAAGCAAAAAGGAAAAAAAAAGATATAAAAAACAAATTTTTTTTTTCTTTTTTTTTGAAAGCCGTGTGAAACAGTTCCAAGGGAACGGCAAAACAGCAGCAACAATAATATTTAATAAAACAATGAGTCAAAAAAAAAAACGGATGGTATTCAGAAAAAAAGCAATGAAAGAGACTTTTTGCTCAGAATAAAAAAAAAATAAAAATAAAAGAAATAGACAAAAGCATTTTAATATTTTTCTGTCTGCTTACCGGCCAAACAAAACTGAACGGTAAATCAATGCCGGATCGTAAAACTGAACTGTCCACATGAACTTCGTTGCTAAATTTACACTGAATATTATCCACTGGATTGCTTTGAAAATTTGTTAAACATACACGCCATAAATCACCAATCTTAACTTCTGATGAAGACGACGTTGACGACGAAGGCGAATCTACAGATTTCAACCGTACTTCAAAATGTCCAGAAACTGTAGACTGAAACAAACAACAAAATGCCAAGCACGCTCCAAAAATAAAGATAAATTAGAAAAAGACAGAAGAAAAAAAGATAAAAAAGAGGAGTAACGACAACAAAGAAAAAGAAATTAAATAATATTATAAAAAAATTAGATTCTAATAATAGACTTCTGGAGTCGAAACGTACTGCAGCAAGCTGGGCAACAAAAGCCAACAACGACACGGCAATGGTTGTCCCTTCAGCTAGCATAACTTTCAGTGGACCAATACAGATTAATTCGTAACTGCTCCTTTTTTTGCTTACTTTCCACAGTTTCTTTAACACTTTCCACAGTCTCAGCGGCAGTATCAGTAACAGTAATAGTAAGGATTAAAAAGTGAACAAATAAATAATATTCAAAAGAACGAAATTACTGTTTATCCAAATTGATTACTACTGCACTGTGCATGCCTAAAACAGTGAAAGTTTATTAGTGTCAAAATCAGTCTTCTAAATATGCTTTTTGGAGCGTGTTTCAGAGACTGGCTTTGTCCTAATTACCGTGTGTTATTAAAAGCGCAAGAAAGCTGAAAAATCTAAATTCAAATAGTATAAACCTCCCGGTAGTTCATTGAGAAGGTACATGCATTTGGCAGATTTAATTCCCGCCTGAGACTTAAACTTTGATTAGTCCTATCGAAACAAAAAAAGAAAAGTAATAATAATAATAATAATAGTAACAATAGTAGTAATAATAATGATCATAATAACCGC